GTTTCTGAAGAGACAATATAGAAGAATGGTCAGGAAAATATGGATATAGTCAACTTGCACTGTATTTCGCTAACGTGGATAAGCCCATGTTTGGTGCATGATCGCAACTCCCAGCCTGTGTCCCAAATAATGACAGCCTACCAATGACGTCGTCGCCTTCAATTGACTCACAAATGACTTATTATCAATGCGACCTGCACATCCAAATACCTCTGTTGGTGCTAATCCCGAATAGAACTTTAATTAGTGCTGATTCATCTCCGTTTAATCTTTCCACTCTCTCTGAACTGGCGTTAACTGGTGACGCATCGGTGATAAAATATTTCGTTTTCGGTAGCGCGAGGCACGCCTGCACAGACATGTTCCCATACAGGACAGCAAGCATTAGTTGATCGAAAATGTAGGACGCTGTTCAGATATGGCCACCTGAATACGGGATGTTCAGTTCTGATAAAAGTGAACACGAGTCAGTTTTGCAAAAGCAGCTGTGTTGACAAAACTGTCGCCTTGCCCTTTACATGCCGATAAAGAGGGACCAGAAAAATATACGTAAAATGCTTATTGTAACTGGTAACATGTGTGAGTACGATTGCACTGATATGGAAGTAATTTACCGGAGAAATGCAAGTTGCGATGGAAGTTGCGTGTGTTTTACGAGAAAGCTTTAATGAGTGTATTGGAAAGAGCAAACTCCTTCTTCGCATCCCGTATTTGTGACGCGTGCTCAATGTGGATAAACACAGAACAGTTACAGTTCGTTCCCTTCTACATACTAATAATGTATATTTCTCCTTGTACTGAGACATCGTGCCCAAAAAGGGACTGATCATAGGTGGTTGAACTGTTCGCTGAGCTTGGCAATTCTGTTGCAAGCATTTCGTCACCAATCGAGGTGACATCATCAGTGAGCAGTTGCGCGGCGTGTAGTAGCGTAGGGTAGCTTAGAGCATCCTCTACGCTACTGCACGCCACTCAACTACGCACTGAGGATGTCACCTCGATTGGTGACGAAATGCTTACAACAAAATTGCCAAGCTCAGCGAACAGTTCAACCGCCATCTGAACAACCTGGGCTACCAGTCTTCATTTCTATAGGACTGATCATATTTATATATGCAACGCGCTCGCGCATACAGGGCTCTCAATGGTTGGGGGCTATGCAGGGATACAATGGGTACTGAGCAGTTTATACATATCCCTACTTTTAGTCAGTCAGCTGAAAAGTGTTGCACCCGCTATCTGTCGGTCAATTTGGCTTGTAAGGCTTTCAGCTGAAAGGCGAAATATTTCACAGTAAACCCACTAGTTCATTGCGTGGTAGTTTTTCCTAAAATACGTATTAATGCATTGTTCCGTCGTTTTGGGAAAATTTTATCGGCGTAAGATGTAGACAATACCTTCTAAGCCATGTATTGTCGTATACACCAATTTGGTCGAAAATATCCGTAGGCCTGCGAAAATGTGTCACCCTACAGAAATTCGGAATGCTTCTGCGAGAGAAGCATTGTCGCCCACGACCTTTGTTGCAACATGTCTAGACTTACAGCACAAGTTAAAAAGGCGATGATCGGTGGCGTTGTGGATCCGGTAGGTGTCGTCCGAGCTGAGAGCAATCCCCATCCTGAGTAAACCGTCGTAAAACGCAAAGAAACGAAAGGTGAGGTTGGCTGACATTGCTTCGTGATAGGTAGTCTACAGCTATGGATAACACAAGACCAAACTCACGTGGACAATAAGCGAATCCAAAAGTACGTTATTTGCCACAAAGCAAATCAAGCGCTTTGCAGAAGATTTAGCCGGATGAATAATATCGAATTGGTTCAATGCAAGACGAGTCAACTACAGCGTGGTTCTAGGCAGGGGAGGGGTGGGATGTACCGGCGCACCGTGACATGACAGTGAGTGTGCATCAGTACAGCCGGTAGACAGTAGTCAGGTGGTACGCAATCCAAGCGAAATTTCCATACCTGCGTGGACCGAATAAACGGTTTAAATACAATTCGGCTAAGCATAAACAAAGCTGGACGTGGCGCTCGATGATGCAGACATACATTTGACAAGGTGGCAATGAGTGAACACTGAGTGCAGGTCCATAATCGCATGCCTAGGGCAAAAGAACACTGATCATGGTTTGCCAGTGAAATGCCCTACAATTCCTTGCGGTTCATACTTAATTTAGGCATAGATGAGTAATGGTTTCAGCAATAAAAGTTGTTCGAATACTACACAAACTTCCTTTTGACTCCCAGAGAGTTAAACGACAATGCACATTATACAACTATTCAAACTTTTAATTGGGCGTCCTTTACAATGACTTGCAGTCGGACTATAGCCTAGAAGTAATGAGCTTGTCCCGGAATTTCGCGGTGGGTGTTCGAATCTGCGTAGAGGTGGACGTACTCGCGGTATCCTCAGCCCGCGTGCGACTGGTGGTCGTCGCACGGCTTCCAAGCGGTGTTACAGCGTACAGCTGATAACTTATTACATTATTACAATGAGTTCCAAATCGCGATGGACTTCCAAATCTCCGGAAAAGTATTAATCGGTGGTCTTGCTCTACCGGTACTCGTCATTTATGATCATCCCTCGGTTTCTTCAGGGAGTGGGACCAAGACCACTACCGACTTATGCTCCTAGACCGCAGCTATTTAGGACGGCAGTGGACGATTCTGACCTAAAAGTTAACTCCGAAATTGCGGGACTCCAGACAAATGACATTACACGAAAATGGAATGTTAGTTCTAATTAAATGCGTCGTTGGACCATTTCACCGTCCGCACTCCACCTGATATTCGACGTTCATCGTTTTGTGGTTCAGCGTGGTGATCAACTGCGTTTAACTCCCGAAATTGCTCCATGCTGAGCCAACACAAAATTCGAAGCTATCAGATGTTGGTTGCATTGTTTACAACGGAGGTAGAGCATGCGCTGCTATATGCACTAGCAAAATCAATGAATGAGGACTTGTATGCCTAAGTGGCTTGAATACCATTGAACCAGGTAGAAGCGAGTGCCCATCTCCGAAAACAATGAATTGTCTTATAGATTTTTAAGTCGGTTAACTAGAGCATAATGTACCAATGCATTACCATTTGAAATTGATATCGTTGGGTCGAACCATGAGCAAACTGAGATATTTTGACGACCACCCCAAGGGAAACGTTTAAAAACCATAATCACAATGCTGAAAGTAGAACGCTTTACAAAAATCAAATGATGGAGAGTTTCGGGTAGATTTACAGCAATTTTATCACCCTTTTAGGGTCCATTTCCACATCAGACCATGGATCGTGCAGTCCAGACGAGTTGGAGTAACCTACCAAAACTATCACAAGTGCCGGGAAACTCGGACCATTCAGGGCTTTTCGAACAAACTCAATCGCCGGTTGTGCATGACGAAATCGTGCACTCCGTCAGATCGGACAGCGTGATCCGCAACACAGTGTTACCGTCCGAAGTCAATGAAGCTGTCAGTGGTAGAGCGGGTAAGTCTATTAATCTTCTGATTGAGATGCGTTCAGCACCATCTGGTCATTCGTAGTTGGACGATATGTGTGTGTGCGTTATGGCCACATTGGGAATGGACTGACAAATGCCAGTTTGATGAAGAGTCATAAATTTCGGAATAATGGACGTGAGCAGAAGCAAACAGGGACTTGATGTATGCCTCGTTATAGCAGCGAAATTCGACAACGAGGTGGTAAGGGTAATATTCGAGTGGAATACACTGCCAGGATTCTGCGGGCTGGGACTGATTACAAAAATGACGCTAATCAGCCTGGCCATAAGATATACCAGAGGGAACCAAACGATGAAATCACGTTCGTATTGGTGTACAGAACATTAATCCGGTATCTAAGGTAACTAGTGTAATAATGTAGTGTGGCAATTTCAGCATCACAATATGGTCAGTGCAGTGGCGTAGCAATTAGTTTTGTGGCCTGGGGCGGTTGCAAAATTTTCGCAATGACTGAAGGCAGAATAGACTCGTGAAGGCAACACAATCGGCTCAGAGTAAAGTGCACGTTAGTTTTCGATGCAATGGATGATCGTTTGGGACACAGATGGGTGTGTTGAAATTGAGCACAATGGGACTAGTAAAGAGACCGCTACGAGGAACGTTTTCACACAGTTATGACACATGGCGTAAATGTCCTGCTGGTCAAAGTAACATTAAAATATTCAACCCCTGGCTTATCCGCATATTGTGTCCTTTGTATTTGGTAGCGGATAATCGGCGGTACAGAAAATGCCGCCCCCTGTCACATTTCGCCAGGGGGCGGACTGCCTACCCCCTATATGCTACGCCAGTGGGTCAGAGTCAAGTCTATCGAACTGGAGTGATGAATGAAGAAAATGATGGAACTACTAGAGACAAGCAATCGTGATCGTTTACCTCAGTCTTCACAAATACACACACACACACCACAATAAGTACATCGTGCCCGTGCATAGGTAACATATAAGTACTTGTGGAACTAATGCGCGATATCCGGATCATTAGTATCGGTAGCTTGCTCAGATTTAGTTCTGGTTCCGGTCTCATACATTTCTCTGAACTCTGGAACAAATCTATCCTCAGACAAGCGTGATCAAGTGAGAGTTGATCACAGCAGATTCCACACCAGACAGCCCTCCACATACTGGGAAAAGTGCATTCAAGATTCGAGCATATGACCACCAGTGGTTTGCACCGCCAGTCAGCAGTTTATGCCATTGAGCCACGCGGGACAGCTTCAAACCGTCATGATTTGCAAGCTAACTACGATATAGCGCCTCTTGTGCTTTACTGCCATGCAAGTTACGAAGGTTGCAGAGGACAGGGTTGGCATCGAAAGAGAATAACTAGGTACGATGTAGCATTTAGAAAGTGTTCGGTCGAATATTTTGGTGTACTCATGAGTGGCATATGCTGCTGCCTGGCAGGGCAAGCCGCTGGTGGTCATGGGTTCGAATCTTGAGGGATCTTATGGATGCGCACTATTGAGGATACCCAACAGGTTGCAAATGCGGACGACGATCTGAATTTGTATCTACTAAGCATATTTTTCAATTAATTACTTCAAAAAGCCCCTACTCATTAGTGCCTCAAAATATATGCCCTAAAACTTTCTAAATGCTATTTCGTACATAGCTACTGTCAGTGGACATCGTGTCTTTCGGAGTCCACCCTGTCTTCTGCAAACTTCAGAATTTACATGGCAGTTGGTTTGTAAATCATGTCGATTCGCCGTTGTCTCCTGTGGTCCAGTAGCATAAGTGCGATTGCCTGACATAAGAGGAAAGCCATCTTCGTCAGCGGAAACTTGCTTCACCAGGAGGACGGCCACATATTACACATGGGTGTAAAAGGGATGGAGACACTGCACCATGTAGCGCAACTAATTTTTACACATTTTACGTCATCAACTACCATTGTGATGTAGACGTGACCACTTTCATACTGTCTGCCCCACTGTATTAGAGGACGATAGTTCATCTTGAGTCACAGTCGCTTCACACCACAAATGGGAATGGAATTCATTTGTGCTCCGCAATTCACAGCAATTGATTACTCCCATAGTTTATTTTCCCAAACACTTGGACTAAAGCTGGGGGATGTGGTATTTGTGGAATCTGCTGCACTTACATATACCCGGAGCATTTTGCTTGAAGTCTTCGTTACACACCTCCACAATATACTGTGTTCTCACGGGCGGAAGAAAAATCATTTGGGTTTCGGCAGTGTACCCATCCGGATGGAAAGGGTGCCACAAGCTGCTAAGCGTTGCACCAAACGCCACATGCCACTATATAGTTGTTTTCATTGAAAACTGTCCCGTTCCCATAGCCAACGCCTCTAATAACATTGACAATTTAGAAGCTTTGACTGAATTAACATCATCCGTAAGCCCTGTGACACATGAAGCCATCTTCTCAGAGTAATGCATTGTCAGTATGACTGCTGCATGATGATACTGACACACATTTTCCCACGATGTGTCTGTAAGCTGATAATCTGGTGCTATATCCTAACGATATATCACGCGAGTTTGAGCATCTTTGATAAAGTCGATAGGCCGACCAGCGTTCGGTGTACTTTATGCACCATCTACATCGTCAGTAAACTATTCCGCTACTCTCTGCTTTCGTCCTTCCACTGATGATTTCGTCGATGTTTTTCGTGATGCATCAAATGGGTCATCCAAAGGACCGGTCAAGTCAAGTCAAAATAAGCCTTATTCACTCTTAGTAATGTATTTTCAGCATTTCACACCAACATTGTGAAACATGGTGTAACAAGGCAACAAAGCTATGACTGACAACACTAAATGAATAGATCCAACCAGTCAACACACGGTCGCGAAAGCTGTGTTTTATTCTTGATGACTGTCTCAACGGACACTTCTCAACTTGCGCATCCCTGTGCTCAGACCCGTTTAACCGATGTCTCAAATTGTATCAATCAATTCTCTGTAAGGTCTGCACTATCTCGTTTCGTGCATATACATTACATTGTTCACCATTTCACCAATATTTGCCGGCGTTTGTCGTAAAGTAACATGAGTTCAGGCGGGACTCCAACGAGATGTTAGACTAAGATGCACAGACTCTGAGGGCAGATTCTTTCCATCATTATCCATTCGTGTGGTTGTCACAAAACTTCCATGATAAACCGAACGAAAGCAGATTATACGAAAGTAAATGCTGCATAACGGTATGCACACTACACATGTTGCATGCTTCAGTTTGGGCACAAATTCGTATCAACTTACCGATAATTCATACCAGGACAACAGTCTGTTTCGTTTATATGGCGCAGTGGACACACGGACACGATTTCTGTGATAATACCTACAGCCGGCCATGTGACAATGAATTCTACTCCACATTTAACAACTGTGTCATATGATGTAAACAATATGCCTGACTGTGTCTTGATATGTTCAGTGAACAAGACCGTCGGAGAGGTCAGGTACCATACTATGCTTGGCCGCTTGCACTTGCGAGGTGAGATTTCATTCTCTCTAACCTGGGCTAATACGTAGTAAACATCTCAACCATTTTGCGTTTATTTTAGTGGGGTACAGTGATTCGAATCTGACAAGCACAAATGCAATTAAAATGGTACAAAAAAGCAACAAATAGAGATGAAACAGCAACATTCTGAACAAGAAATAAATGACCCACGCGGTTAGAAATGAAAGGTTGTGGTGAGGTTGACAGTGATTTGTCAACTGCACCACATCGGATACAGCCGCTAACCAATGTTGTGAATTAATCCCGAAGCTTTCGTATCTCAGAAATGGTTTTCCGTTATTGACTGCAAGCTTTCTCGATTTTCCATCAAGTGACGACTCTGCAACTTCAAACAACCAGACACGTCCTTACTAATCAGCTCACTCCAGGAAACCTTCAGACCTAGCTGTTGGAGGCAGTTGCGTGTTAACAAGCAATCTGGCACACCGCGAGAATGATTGGCATCAAACTTCCACTGTGCAACTTTGGCGTCGGTTGTTTGTTGCTTATGTCAACCATAGTTATTGATAAGTAGGCCTCAACGATCGAAAACGACCAGCAGGTTGCTTTGACTTTAATCAAGAAGTGTAAGACAGAAGAGCTCAAATAGTTAGGCTGCGTACGCCGTTGGTAACAGTAAATTATTTTCCTATGATGCTGCACGGTCACTGGGACATTAATAAAGCGTAGCACAGTTCAGCTCGTGCTTCGATCTATGAACGATGTACAGTTGGTTCAGTGGGTCATACAACCGTCATCCTAACTATTCGAACGCTGAATGCCAATCATCCGGTGTTAGCAAGTGGCGATTAACTATTAACTATAGCTCGGTCAAAACCCAATCCATTTTCTCTCTGCTCTCCAAGTAACGGAGTTACTTCAGAATCCAAACCGAATCTTCCCCTTCACAAATAGGTCTGGCTGAATGTTGGAAAATATTCGGTCATTGCCTAATTGAAACTTTTTACCAATTGATATTTCCTCTCACACCATTGACTGTGAACGGCAAACCTACACACACTTGACGACAGTTTTTCGTTCGCCACCAGTGCCACTTCACTTGGTGTGGGTGAGGAACAAAAATGTCATTAGAAAACAGTGCAAATCCACACCTGCTCACAAATCGGCTTTCGATTATTTAGACTGCTGTAGACACATAGCTTTTCTTCATCCCTTCTGCGCTTTTATGGGCATAAAAGTATTGAAATATTTATAATGATTTGCATCAGTTTGGAAGAAATCTGCCCACTTTTCAACTGCTGATCGATTCTGTCTGCAAGAGGCTTTGATCACAATGAACTTACAACTGGTTGCTGCGTCAGCGATAAGAGTAACGCAATCAAGTTCAACAAGGTTAACTGTAGCCAGAGACCCGCATAACGACATGGATGAAAAATGTTCACAACTACCTGCAATTTTGCTGTAATATCCATTATATTGTCGGTAGATGGCTATGAACGAATGAACTTAATATTGGGCTACAGTG